TGATCGTCAAAAATGGAGCAAATTTGTAGACACCTTATGAACACAAAAAATGAGATCAGAGTGAGAGTAAGAAAAAGTCATTATCTATAAACAAATTTAACAAAACTATGTCGTTTTCCCGGAATTTCGAAAGGGATACAGCGACGTGGGATTAAATAACTCTTCGAGCCTATTAGTGTCTCGCAATCGAACAAAGGTCTGACAGAGTAGAGTAATTGGCTTAATCGTCATGACAACTAACCATTCTCCAGGTTAATATATTGCCGACGTTATTAATTGTGGCCGTGTACACGGAAAAACGGATCATATTTTGTCGAAGTAATAAAAATTTAACGCTGTTTATTTTTTAGGCACTCTATCACTTTTTATCGAGTAACGTTTCATACCGAAGAGATCGAAGACTACAATTTAACGAGAAACAACAAAGATTCCGAAAAATAAATTAAATTGTAGCGATCTAAAGCTCAATCGAATGAAAATAATAAAAAAGCTAAATCTAAATACTAACTTAGCTGCTTCAAAATAAGTTGATAAAAAATAAACACAGAATATACTGATTGTCGAATATAAAGCATTGATTAAATGGTATTTTTGTAGTACAATGAAACCATTAAGAACTAAAAAAATACACGGGGTAATTTGTAGGCACATACATTTATATTTAATAAATTTTCACCCTTTTATTTGGATAGTCAAAGGTTCCACTATACAGCCTCTTCATATAAATTTAGTATCTTTCATTGTTTTGATGGAAAAGGCGACAAGCGCCTGTTCTTATATAGTTTATTTAATATGTCACGAAAAGGAGATGTTATATAATATGTATAAAAGCGCTGTTGAGCGCGGGATATTTTCAGGTTTGCTATATATTTCCAACGGTTCATCAATGAGGCGTAATGTGTAGTAAAATAACCTTAAAATAATATTTTAAGAAAATAACAAGCGCAAAGTTGACAGATGCCATAGTTTCTGTACTCAGTTTGGCATACGTTTTTGTTCATTCAGCCTTATTTAAAATCAATTAAAGTAACCATTGACTTACAAATAAATGGACGACGCGACGGGTCTAATACAAAAACCACGAAAAAAATGTCCCAAGTCAACCTATTCGAAATTTAAATTGTAATGTCATCGCAATATCGCGCTGTCAGTAGAACAAATGAAGACTAAAGCGGAGTGTCGCGCTCTGTATACGATTTTAGCGCCTTACAAGTGCGGACACTTTTTAGCGCGGACCCGACGTCCATATAATTGTAAGTCAATGAAAGTAACTTAATCAATTTCTAGATATAACAGCCGATAAAAATAATCGTCTGTATAAACAAGCAAGAACTTGTTCAAATCACATTTCTACGAAAAAAAATAAAAGAAATGAACTTGCCGATGTGTATAAATGTCCTATGTACTCTTAAATAGTACTTTCGCATGATGGAATAGCTAATGAAGCATCAAAGTTTATTCGCTTTTAAATTTATAATAGGTGATTTACGATAAAATGGCTAACAATAGTGTTCGGTACAATATAAATTAAGTTTGTAGAATAGTATTTTCTTTTAGTATTTTATAGATTTCTTGAAATTATCAGTATTTTATTCGATTGTTTGCGTATTTTTCATTGCACAAAAGTTTTCGATAGATTAGTAAGTTAATAAATAAATATTCATATTTTGAATACGCTCATTTTTAATTTGCTTTTCGAAGCTTTTATTACTTATTTTATCAGTGATGGCAGTCGACAGCATCGCATTGCTTCGACCTATTTTACGCAATTTCGTAGAAGTTAGTAATGTCGCCTGCGGACAATCTCCAATCTACTGCTGAAGTGCTAAGCTACAGAATCCAATTAAAGCGTTAGACTTTATACCTGGATAAAAATACTCCTCTATATTAACGCTGTCCCAAATAATTCAATTCTTACTTTGTCAAACGAAACATTCTGCACATTTTAGACGTTTTTTGCTACTTTCGCGCGTAATAAATCTAATGTGTGTTATGTAAAAGCGTCGAGTCACCCAACAAGAACGCTAAGCGGAAGAATATGAAAATTCTATTGTTTTATGAATTATTTATACAGCTTGTGACGTTATAAGCGGCATAAAGAAGCAATTCCTCCCGAAAGTGGATTTACTCGTAACTAAGTTTCACGCACAAACATGAAGTAAAAGTGGTTTAAATCTCTCCTTTGTTTTACCATCCACTGCCCTACATGTCCCTATACTAAACATAATTGGACAATCGTCGTCAAAAAGGAAGGTTTTTCGATTATAGCCAGGCCTTACAAACCGCAATCGAATACACATGAAGACGTCGCTGCTCATTTCCGGGGTGAATTTATCTCTTTGATATATTTAACGACGTCGATATGGGGTTTTCAATGTATTTTCACTTGTCATGGGCAATGCACGCGGATAATTGTGTGAGGCAATTTCCGTTAACTTTGTCTTGAGAGTCGATACTATCTCCTTTCGAGTCCAAATTTTTCCCGAACTAAAACGATTCGTTTTGTTTGGGTCGAGCGGCAGGGCTTTATTTCAGATTTTTTTTACAACGAAACTAAAGCCATTTGAAAAATGTTTATGCAAATGTATATATAAAAATATATAATGCTGTACGTTTTCCATTTAGTTCAGTTGATATTAAAAAAAACCATTGGTATATGTAAAGTACCTATTGAATACGGCGGGTTTTCTTCTAAATTTTCGAGGTAAGTTTGTGTTTTTTTATCTATCGTGAAAATGTTTAAGAATTGTGTTTTCACACCGTAATCAGTGTATATCTTCAATTTTACTGTATATATTATTTCAAAGTGATTGATTCAACACTTTCGGTGTTATGCGGAATCAACCAAAGACATTTGAAGTTGCATAGACTTAAGAGACTAGAGTGGTTTTGGGGACCGGTAATATGTGTTATCTACTTTAAGCTGTTTGGCGAAATGTTTTAATAACGAAAAATAGGTTTATGCGGCTACTGGATATTCCATTTTAATTTTAGATGGCTCGAAGGCTGTATTGAGGCTTAACGGTGAAGCGGCTAAACCCAATATCCGGCGGCCGTGGGCTGTTTTCATTCGGACACCTTTGTACGTGAATCCGATAAAGGGATTGAGGCCTCTCTGCGCACCGACAACCTTCTCATCAAAACTGACGGGAACAGACACAATTTTCTTACCTTTCGCAAGATTAGGCCACATTTAAAATCAATAATTTGTTCTATTTGTGTTCAATACGTATCGTTTGTTTGAAATTTAGTCAAGTGACGTCTTGCCCTTCAGACTACGACAGCTGCACTTTCTTGCGTGAACAGCTATTATTATAACACAGAAGGAAACAATACAATTCAAGTATAACTACATTAAGATGGCTAGAAACAAAAATACAATATAGAAAAGGAATCATATTATTTGATCCTCAAAGAAATATTGATTTGAGAAAAAAAAAATTTTTTTCATGTTTAACGCACACACTCAACATTATTCGACAACAGTATTCGAAACTCTACAGTTCTCCTGTATATATCTTGAGCAAAGTTACACGTAATTAATTGTCTTCCTATTTGTAAAATTATTTAAGCCAGTTAAAGCTAGTATTTCTATTTGAAAATTTCCAACTAGTTGATATTAACCATAGTAAACATAGTGAAGTGTGTAAATTCAAAGGAAAGTAATCACTATACCCTAGGGATGCACGTTTGAAGAAAACATCGATGTTTTTTTCGATGTAATGCATCGCGCTTTGGCATCGATGTATTACGATGCATCGAAAAAAAACATCGATGTTTTCCATACATCGTTTCTTTTTTTAAATATGTACTGTACATATTTAAAAACGATGTATGATTTTACCTTAATAGGTCAAGGGTGCGTTTTTTAAGGAACAAAGTTATCTTTGTAAAGGGGATGATGAAATAAAATATAGTACATTGTAATTAATAATAACTTTAATTCCAAAAATCTCTTATTTATTATCTATATCTATTTTCTTAAATCAATTCAAAAATCCCAATGATTTTTAGGCAGGCTATGTAAAAACAAAATTTTATTTAGTCTTTTTCCTTTGAGTCTGTTTCTTTGTTGATTTAATACCTGCGCCGCTTTGGAAAATAATCTTTCAGAGGGCACAGATGTGCCCACCATAGTCAAAAACTTAAACGCAATTTTATATAATTTCGGAAACTGAATTTTAATATCTTTCCAAACTTCTAACGGATTTTCGTTTAATCTTGCCACTGGACTTCTGAGATAAATAGAAAGTTCATCACTCAGGCTGCCTTCAGATTTGTTAGACTTCCAGTTGTGACGTACTAACTTATGGTGATCACTCCATAGTGAAAAATCTTCTTCAATTTTATCAGATTTCGTCGGAATCCATTTGGTCTACGCTCTGTAACTCAATCTTCATTATTTGTTTTATTTTTGAAACAGCATTCGCACAAGCTGTAGCATCGTTGAAGTGCATTTTTTTGAAACGTGGGTCCAAAATACAGGCAATAGCAATAGGAATCACATGTTCAATGGCACCCATTCTCCTGTTAATTTCTTTTAGTATTAGCTTCTGCATCTCCTTAGCCAAAGGTTCTTCAATTACAAGTGAATTAATTTTAGAAAGCATGCAGTGGATCAACGGAATAATTTTACTGCTTGTGCAGTATTGGTCACCAGAGATATCCTTTGTTGCAGCTTCTAGGGGTCGAAGTAATTGGAGAACTGATGACATGACGGATAACTCTGATCCGCTTAGCATGGGAGGCGCATTATTGTGACGAAACAGAATATCGTTCAGAACACTTCTTAGTTCAAGAAATCTTTGTATCATATAGTAGGTACTGTTCCATCTAGTGGGCACGTCCTGAATTAATTTTGTCTCAGCAGTTGTAGCTTTGCGCAATTCGTCACTTGCAATACAACTTTGCTTGAACCACGTGACTATAGCTTTCATTTTTGAAACTAATATCTGTACTTCTGTGCAAGTCAAAGCGCCTTGGGCCACTAAATTTAGTGTGTGGGCAAAACAAGGAATATGTTTTTTTTTTCCCAAATGCTAATTCCACCGCCTTGACCATATTGGCTGCATTGTCAGTTACAACAGCTGACACTTTCTCTTTGTGTATTCCCCATGCCTCACAAGTTTTTATGAGCTCTGCAGCAATATAGTCAGATGTGTGTCTTTGATTTAGTTCATAAACTCCAAGCGTCACAGCGTATAACTCGATATCAAAACCAAAATGTGCCGTCACACCCAAAAAACTTTTCATATTCATGGTATCTGACCAAATATCAGTTGTTAAAGTTATATATTCTATAGTAGACAACTTTGTTTTGAAATTTGTCGACAGAGCTTCAAATTTTTGGTCTAGCCAACGCGTAATGGATGTTCTGCTAGGTATTTTATAATGAGGTGCTACAACTTTCATTAAATTATGAAATCCTTCATTTTCCACAATTGAAAACGGCTGATGGTCTTTACAAATCATATATAAAATACAGTTGTTTATTTTTCTAGTCTTGTCACCAGATGGAGAAAAAACATCAATTTCTGTAAAAGAAGCTGTAATGGTCTTTTGACGCTTTAAAGGGAGTATCATTTGACTCTCTTGTTCTGTATCTATATTGCGAGTTTCGGCACAGTCTTTTGAACTATCTTGTGATGACGTTTCTGCACACTTCACAACACTACTCGTAGATGGCTTGCACAAGTCTGAATCATTATCAGACGCAGATGTCTCTTTAGTTTTCGAATGTCCTTTTTCTAATATACCAGATTTTGGCTTAGGAACAATTTCTAAATAAGAAGATTTGTGAATATTACGAATATGTCCCATTAAATTGGTCGTATTTCCTGCAGATCTAATAATTTTCAGGCATAGTTTGCATTTTGAAGACTTGTCATCAATTTTGTTAAAAAATTTCCACACAGAACTTGTTTTCTTAGGTGCCATATTGAAATAAAACTATCTGAAATAGAAATTAATAACAAAGTAAGAATAATAATCATAAATAGTTTATTATAAAAACGTTCAACGATCGATAAGAATAATTAGGTACATTCTAACTTCTATCACATCCCTATTATTATGATCATCGTGATATTTTATTTACTGAACATAAGCATGAACATAATTATGTACATTATAACGTGCCTCCCTAGTTGATTACGATATAGTCAAAGTTAAAACCATGTAACATGAGTGAAAAATTAAGTTTGAAAGAGTATTTTTGGGACAATTTACTTACCTGCGATAATTGTTTGAATGAAAGTCTAAAACTACTTTTCAGCATGCTCCGATAATACTAATTAATATTTTATGCAGTTTTAATAGGTAACTGTTCGCTCAATAACTGAAAAACCACTCGAAAAACCCAATTCACACACCACATCAGTCGTATGTCAATTGTCATCCATTGTGGCTTGTGGTTTGGTTATGGTTATATTATTTTTTAATTTATTCTGGCTTGGAAACTGTGACTATTAGCTGTTTTTTAAAGTTCCTATTCACGGTACTTTCTCTAATTGACAATTAATACTTTTTCGATGCATCGGAACTAAAACATCGATGTATCGAATGAGTCAAGAGACATACAATACATCGGTTTTTTCGATGCATCGTTCCAAAAACATCGAATGTTTTTAATACATCGATGTATATCGTGCATCCCTACTATACCCCATAACATAAGAAAACACCATTAAGTGCATCATAGACTCGCAGTGTTGACGAGAACGCGTAAGCGACGCGGATTTCACGGCGCTTAAGACCTTTTAGTCGCGAGGTTTGCGCAGTGATATTATCGACCGTGTTCGGATGAAGGTAGTGGTTAAAATTGACGCTGTGGATGCCTACTAGGTTTGTAAGTTGTCCAAAGATAAATATAACGGAGCGTACACATTGGAGATTGTTCTATACTGCCTACGGGAATTCGGTTCAATTACATTTTGCTGCTGTTGGTATTACATTTTGTGGATAATGAGTGAATATAAATGGGGTTGTTGCCCCTATGGTAACGATAACGATAAGAGGAGCTTTATTAGATGTAGTGGATGTAACCAGAATTACCATTTCGCATGTATTGCTGAAGATGAAAGCTCTTTTTCATCTAAATCCGCATCGCTGTGGAAATGTTTAATGTGCAAACCGCATAAAAATCCCACTAAAAATGATGATACTCCTGTGCGAAGTGTAACAACTTCAAGAGGAAGTAAGAGACCAGCGTTCAATTCACCTGAGATTACAGAACCTGATACTGATGCAACAGCGGTTACCAAAAAAGATGTGCATGATATTATAAAGGATGCACTTAGTTCTGAATTTAACAGATTCGTGGAGAAGTTCAGTGACATGGTTTCTCAAAGTTTGGATAGGAAGCTGAAACCCCTGGAGACTGAAATGAACAAAATGCGAGATTCAATGGATTTTTTAAGCTGCAAATATGATGAACTTTTGAGACAGCATGTCACTGTGAAGGAGGCTGTGAAGGTCGTTCAGGATGACAACAATATGTTGAAAGTTGCCGTAAATGACCTAAAGTTGAAAGTAGAACAACTCGAACAACAGGCACGTTCTAACAATATTGAAATTCAGTGTGTGCCGGAGAGTAAGCAGGAAAACGTATTGGATATTGTTATAAATTTGAGTAAGGTGGTAGATTGCAGTTTGAATCAGTCAGATATAATGAACTGTACAAGAATAGCCAAGCTTAAACAAGACAGTCCCCGTCCGAGATCCATTGTGGTACAGCTTGCCTCGCCTAGATTGCGTGACAAGTTTATAGCGTCTGTGGCAAAATTCAACAAAGCCAACTTTAATGATAAACTAAATAGCTCTCATTTGGGTCTTTCCGGTAATAAGGTAGCGATTTTCGTCTGCGAACACCTGTCACCTACCAATAAAGCCCTGCATGCTACTGTTAGACAAAAGGCTAAAGAAGCTGGTTATAAATTTGTTTGGATAAGAAGTGGCAAAATCTTCGTCAGAAAAGACGTTGGTTCAAATTACATTTTAATCAGGAATAAGGATTCCTTGTCGAGAATAGCTTAATTTTATTTATATAACTTGGTTATTGTTGCATTTGTGTTTGGACTTTTTTATGCATCATGTTCTCTTTAAATGTTTTTTATCAAAATGTTCGAGGCTTAAGAACGAAAACTACAAATTTCCACCGTGAAGTAAGCCTATGTAATTATGACATCATAGTTTTAACTGAAACTTGGCTTGATGGTAACATCTTGAGTAGTGAACTATTTGACGAAAGGTATGTTGTTTACCGAAGGGATAGGGAAAGTACTGGTTTCCATAATTTGAAAAGCGTCGGAGGCACACTCATTGCATTAAAAAAATATATTCACTCGAGGCGTATGACGCAATGGGAGAGTAGATGCGAGGATCTATGGGTAGTCATTGATGTACCTGCTCCTAGTGGCAAAAGTGTTCGTCAGATAGCTCTCTGCGCAGTTTACCTACCCCCACCGGTGAATATCGCATTAATAGACAATTTCCTAAATAATTGTAATTCTCTATTCGATAAAATTGATATACCGAAATGTTTGGTGGGCGACTTTAATTTGGGAGCAATCGACTGGAGCTTGCTTGGTGACCCACAACGTAAACTCAATGATGTCTGTCAGTCTCTAATTGATTTCACCTATGTTAATAAATTACGTCAAGTAAATAACGTACTTAATCATACTGGCAAATTACTTGATCTTGTTCTATCTGATATACCTGTTTGTATTGTTATCAAATCAATGTCTCCGCTGAGTAAAGTCGATCAGTATCATCCCCCATTTGAAATACATCTCGAGTTCGCAAATTCTAGCAACTTACCGTATAACCCATCAGGTGTGAAATATAGTTTCCATAAAGCGAATTACGAATCTCTTCGTGAAAGTCTTGAAAGTATAGACTGGCATATATTATTTCAGAATCTTAAAATTGATGATATGGTAAATGTATTTTACGACAAATTGAACGCACTAATTAGTGATTATGTGCCAATTGCTAGATTGAAATGTAGTAAATATCCACCATGGTTCAGTGGAAACTTGATTAAGATCTTAAAGGAACGTAATAAAATCAGACAAAGGTTTAAATTATATAACAATCCGAGAGATGAATTCGAACTACAATTACTCACTGAACGATGTACAAGTATCTCTAGAGAATGTCATAAAAAGCATTTAGAAAGGTTGGAGAGTCAATTGAGAGCGAATCCCAAATTGTTTTGGGCACATGTAAAAGCTAAGCGTGGTGGATCTAGTACATACCCCATTTCTATGACTGATGGTTCTTATAAAACATCTGATGTTGCTGAAGTCTGTGAATTATTTGCGTCTAATTTTTCTAGTATTTGTGATTTTACTGGTGGCAATATTTTGGGGGGAAATTGCTGTATAGAGGAATCGTCATCTCTAAAATTCATGGAAATAAATAGTCAGGGTTTTCGTGTACCATTAATAGAACTAGAAACTATTGAAAGAACTCTGAAAACACTAGATAAAAATAAGGGAGCCGGGCCCGATGGAATAACACCTCTGTTTATTACTTCTTGTGCGTCGCAGTTGGCCCAACCTCTTTATTTAATATACAATAAATCTTTAGCTACTGGTGTGTTCCCTTATATTTGGAAAAGAGCTAAAGTCGTTCCTGTTTACAAGTCGGGTGATAATAGCCTAACAACGAATTATAGACCAATATCGATTTTGTGTACATTCGCCAAGATTTTGGAATCTCTTCTTTGCACGCATATTCGTAGACATTTTAATTTTTATCTTAGCAACTTTCAACACGGTTTTGTTAGTGCCCGTTCTACTTGCACCAATCTAGTCACATTTAATGAAAATCTGGTCGAAGCTTTAGACTCAGGGAAGGAATTGGATGTACTGTACACAGACTTCAGCAAAGCTTTCGACTGCGTGCCGCACAAAATACTTTTAAAAAAGTTATATGCATATGGCTTCTTGGGGAGGTTTCTTGATTGGCTCATGTCCTATTTAACGGATCGATCTTTTTGTGTAGTAATTAACGGCTATCAATCAGGGCCTAGAAACGTAGCATCAGGTGTTCCACAGGGATCGCATTTGGGTCCCCTATTATTTAATATCTTTATAAATGATATACCTGACTGCTTTAGGTTTTCGAAGTTATTTATGTACGCTGATGATCTCAAATTTGCCAGGGTAATAAACTCTATAAACGATGTACAGCTGCTTCAAGAAGACCTGAACCGGCTAGTTGTATGGTGTGGAGATAACGGTATGAAGCTTAACTCTGCTAAATGTTTTTTTGTAAAATTTTGTCGCAAATTTAATATTATTCCCTCTAAATACTACATTGGCAACCATTTAGTTCAAGAATGTGATAAAATTAGAGACCTCGGAGTTTTGTATGATAAAAAGTTAACTTTTGTCCCACATATAGAAAATGTAATTAAGCGTGCGTCTAGAATGTTAGGATTTGTTATGAGAAACACCAAGGATTTTAAAAATGTTAAAACAAAAATACTATTGTACCAAAGTCTAGTTCGTAGCACATTAGAGTACTGTAGTGTGGTGTGGCGGCCTCATTTCGCCGTTCATTCGTTGCGATTGGAGCGAATACAGAGGCGTTTCATGTGGTACCTTGCTTTCTCGATCGTCAAAGCCAAAAAAAGCTTTTCATATGCTGACAGATTACGTTATTTCAAATTGATGTCCCTGGACGACCGGAGAAAATTCCTTGATTTTCTATTTCTCTTTAAAATTCTGCGTAACCACATAAATTGCCCTCAATTGCTTTCTCTTTTCAATTACCGTATCCCACCGAGATTACCCCGTCACCCCATTACACCTCTTCGTCCTCCGTTGCGGCGCACCGTCTTAGGTACAAACTCACCTGTACCCAGACTGTCCAATCTACTCAATGAAATCAGTCATCATTGTGATATACACCAAATCTCACTAAGC